CAAAAGGTTCTGAGGTGGAAAACACACTTAAAGACAAATTAAGATTGTACAGTTACAGATAAAACCAGAGTAGAGACCATACATGTAACTACCACTTGGAATAGATACCAGTCTGAATCAACTGGCAACAAAACAAAGTTCAGATTCATGGTTTATTATATGTGGCAGAAGACGCTTATTTTTCTTTTCAGGAAAATGTTGCTAGAATTGAAGGGTTTTTTTTCCTCCATGCATTTTTTTTTTGGAAAATAATAAGCAACAGATATTATCATGGAATGATGTTTTACAAGAAACCGAGATGCTGTTCAGTGTGTAGACATTGTTAATAGCCAAAGTATAAATCTGAATTCATTAAGGATATTTGCAGGCTGGGCGGTATGGCTGAGTTTGTTTGCTCTTCAGTATTTAACAACACGTTTAATGCGTACTGTTTGCCGTACTGTGCCATACATTGGTGATTAAGAAGAACAACAAAAATGGTTCTTGAAGTACTCAGTCCAGTGGGAAATTTAGGTAAGCAAACAGATTGTTAGGGTGCAGTGTATTAGCTGTTATATTAGAGACATGTAAACATGCTGTTAGAGCCCAATGAGAGGGTATGTCTTCCTGGAGTAGTTGGGGGAAGGTTCTAATGATAAATGACATTTGAATTGATTCTTAAAGTTTGCCAGGTTGAGAGTGGAAAGAAAGGAACATTTTTTACAGAAATAATGCTTTTGGATGATCTAATTTATTTTAGCTAGGAACTTGTACAATCTAGAAAAATGATAATTAACATGCACTGAACTTTTCAATTCAAATATCATATGTCTTCCATCGACCTTTGGCAATACTTGCAGGCAGTTACTTCGTAATTAAATTGTCTCAGACGCCTACAGTGCGGATATTCTGGTATACGGTCAAAGCCCAGGAAATATGTTGGATGGAACAATGGATGAAAGAAAGTAAAGGAGAGCCCTATGTCACAGATATCACTAAGTGTGGGTGAGGCAGAGTGGTCACCATTTTAGGAAAACTTGGAAATTGATTGATATTTTCAGCCAAATAGATGAGCAGTCCATTTTTATAAAGGTAGCAAAGGGACCTGGAGATAGAGCCAATATTTTCCTCACAAAGTAACTTGGACTCATGAATTACTTGCTCAGACATTTAGTTTGGATTCCAGAGTCTTGCCCTGTACAGCACAAGAGGAATGAGCTCCCTTGAAAGAAGTTTCAAAGCAGTTATTACCAGCTAATCACAACATCCCTGAACTTTAACCAGACCTCTGTAGAGTGTCTGATTTTAAATAGAACTGCTTCCTCGTGGTCCTTATGGAATTACTAAGCTGTACAATGTATGTCTGAGTAGCTCGGAGGCTTGACTCATGGAAGGGGTTATTTTAGATGCTTGGTGAATGATCACCCAGTGGAATTTTAGTTTGGATGTATTGATATTGCACTGCTACTTCTGACAATAACTAATCATGCTCAAAAAGACTACTTAAGTCTCTTCTTGTTCAGAGATTCAGACCTTTGTTTTGACCTCCAGAATCATGTATCTACCTGCCCACTTGAGAGTTCTCTTGATTATCTCATAGCTATGTCAGACCTAAAACAGTCAACATTTATAAATCTTATTCTTCACCAACTCCTCCAGATTTATTTTGCCTTTTGTTATGTGCCCCTCTTATTAACTGTACACGCATTCACTTAGTGACCCAAGCTTAGAAACAAGGTACAAATCCTCCCCAGCCCTTAAGTCTAACCAATCAGTTTCATTTCATATTTCTGACATTTGTCCACCTTTCTTCATTCAAACGTGCCATCGACCCCATCTAAGCTGCCATCATTCTCTTGAACTGCTTAGTCCTGGCCTCGTACTGCCTCCCTGCTTTTGCTGTTTCTAATCCGTTCTCTGCATAGCACCTATTGTTATCTTTGAAAAACAACTTCATTATGTTATTTATCTGCTTGAAAGCCTTCCGTGGCTTCCCGTGGCACTTTAGATACAATAAAATATATTGACCCTGGCCTGCATGTCTAGGCATGATATGACTTTGACTCACGTTTCCAACTTCGTCTTTTTCTCATTCCTTCTCTTTTACTTTCTCTCTGGCTCTTCTGACTTTTTTCAGTTCCTTAAATGTGGAGAGCTAATTCCTGCCTTTGAGGCTTCCCTTGTTCACTGTGCCCAGTGTGCTTTCGTCTGCCTTCTGCCTGGCCAGTCCTTCTCATTTATTGGGACTCATTTGTTACTTTTTCCTGAGAGGTTTTTCCAGGCTGTCTAATCTAAGACTACCCTCTGATAACCTTTCTCAAGCCTTACCAGAGTTTAAAAAGCTTTGTTTGTTTCATATGTGTCTCCCGACCATAACACAGTGCTCTCTGGGGACCGTGTCTGTTTGGATTCCCACCGTGCCACCCATCATGTTGCACAGGGCTTGTACAGGGGCAGTGCTCCATAAACATTTGTTGAACGAAATACTATTTAATCAAAATAAGAGTTATCTGGAAGGGGCATCTTGCCTTTCTCTTTGCAGAAAACGACAGAGCCTGCGTGTAATTCCTGTGGCGATGTTTGCCAAGTGCTTCCACAGGAATGTCCAGTAGAGTACTAATAGAAGGTCATAAGCTATTGCCATTTTGCTCTCCTGCAAAAAAAGCTTGGTGGCATCTTCAGGGTTTGTCCTTGGGAGCCTAACAGACTAGATTTAGGTCCTGTCTTTGTTCCTGTAAAGCTGTGCAACCTTGAGCAAGTTAACCAAATTCTCCCAGGTCTATTTCCCTATATATTAAATGGAGAAGATTGTATCTATCCCACATGCTTATTATGAGTATTAACTGAGATTACATATGCAAAGTGCTGAATGTAGTGCTTGGCACCTTGTAGGAGTTCAGGCATTCTTTTTCTTATTCCCTTTATATCTCGAGATTAATGAGGACTCAAGAGGAAAAGAACTCATTTAACTTATAATCTTATTGTTCTTACTTAATGCATAATCACACTTGGGGCACTAACGTGAAGGTCAACACAAGTTTAAGAGGAAAACCTCCTCTCTGGAGTGCAAATAAGCAATGATGTACTGACCATTTACCAGTAAATAACATTAGACTTCCTCAGAAAGATACATGTGAAATTCGCCTTTGCCTTATCCCAGGAGTTATTTTTTAACATTGTCAAATTGTAATAACTAATAATTACAAATAGATTTTTCCATTGTAGTTCAAGTAGATATTCCATGAAGATAGGCCATATGAAAACATTTTCCCATATTAGATGTTTCTATAGCTAGGAAGCGTTGGCAGTACCATTGAAAACTCTTTATAAAGTCCAAAGCTCTTCAAAGTAATTGTCAACTTTGTGTGGGGGGGGGCGATTAAAATATTAAATATTTTAGGCTGGGAACAGTGGCTCCTGCCTGTAATCCCAGCACTTTGGGAGGCTGAGGCAGGCAGATCACCTGCAGTCAGGAGTTCAAGACCAGCTTGGCCAACATGGTGAAACCCCGTCTCTATTAAGAATACAAAAATTAGCCAGACATGGTGGTGAGCTCCTGTAATCCCAGCTACTTGGGAGACTGAGGCAGGAGAATCACTTGAACCCGGGAAGCAGGGTGAGCCGAGATCGTGCCATTGCACTCCAGCCTGGGCAACAGGAGCGAAACCCCATCTCAAAAATAAATAAATAAATAAATAAATATTTTAAAGACAGGTTATTGTAAAATCTGATGGATTAGACTCAAATAGGTGGCAGATATACTTAAGGCATACCAATCTAGATGTTAGATTGAGTTTAAGGGAAAATGCTTGGGTTAATTTATCATAATCAATGGTTGATTCTCTATCTTTAAGTCAGGACAGCACACTCACCTTTGCCTCTATTAAACTTGTTTCACCCTATAACATGAGACAATAGCCATAACCAGGGGAATTGTTTCTCCCTAAGCCAAGTCCTTCAGAGAGCTTGGAGCTTGAGCATTGAAAATTCAAGACCTTTGCATTTGTCTGCTTGAATATTGACCCAGAAAAGGGACCATCTAAATTGTCTATTTAGGGATAGGTATGACAATGTTGATGCCAGGGGATAGACAGGATGATAAATAGATGTAATACTTTAATCGACTACTTAGCTCAGTTGTTTAGCGCATGAGAACTTTGGGGAGGCCAAAAGATTAGATCTGAATTCTTTCTGAGGCTCTCTTACTCTGCCATGGTCTTTTGCCAAAGACCTTACCTTGCATCCAAACCTAGTATCTTAAAAATGTGTATGATTGGTCATTTGGGACATTAGATTCATGACATGTGAAAGTACCCGGAAAAAATCCGTGACCAGCACTACAGAAGGTGTGCTGTGTTAAGAAGGGGGTTTATATGAGTGCTGATGTCTGGACATCTCATTTGGCTCATGATTAATTTCCTACTGCAAACTTACCTTCATAAACCAATATAAGCTAAACTGAGAATTGTGGTTATTAATGTTGACATAAACGTTAACATATGTCCTCAAGAGTACTGTCATCTCACAGAAGGGACAAAGAATAGTTGCGTCATTGTCTTTTTTTTTTGTTCTTTTCTTTGTAGTTTTTTTATCAAAGTTGAGTATAGTTTGAATCTGTCAGTGGTTCTGGTCATTGAGTTCTCTTTTGGTGTTTTCTGTTTTGTGTCTGGTGGGGCTACAGTGCTTTACAAAGAAATTGGATACCTTCTGAACTTTTTGTTAAGTAGAAAGGGAGTCTGCCAAAGAGACATCACCTCTGCTAAAATGCAAGTCTGATTGTTTAAAGCAGATCATCTCACATGTCCCAACATAGAACTTCAGAGTTTCCCGTCTCTCATCCAACCAATTTGATGTTTAAGTGATTTCTGTGGGTGTTTTGTTTTAATCAGATACTAGGAATTGAGAGAAAGTAATGAAAAAACCATAGTGGTATTAATTGTTCTGCCCGCAAGTTACCAATTTGGAAACCTGCTATGGAATGTGACATCTTTTCTCCTCTCCTTTTTTTTTTAATAGAATGCTATGAACCTACCTCCTGACAAAGCCAGGTTACTGCGGCAGTATGACAATGAGAAAAAATGGGAACTGATTTGTGATCAGGTAAGAAACAGTGACACTTTCTTTTATGAAAAAAGTAATGAAAGAAGAGATCCAGTGTGAATTTTATGGTATGACAATTATATCATGATTGAAAAACAAGATATTTGCTTCTGCAACAGAGATAGGAAAAAAAGAGGAGAAGAGAACTTCAGAGAAATAATGATATGTTTGTGTGGATCTTCTTTGGATCCCAGTTTGAATAAGCTAATTATTAAAAAGACTTCTTGAGAAAATTGGGAATATTTGATTAGTGACTGAGATGATTCCAAGAAATTATTGTTGATTTTGTTTGATCATAAAGTACATAGAATAATACTGGGCACATAGCAGGTGCCTCTAAACTTGTGTGGCTGCCTCTGTTGCTGCTTGAAGGGCCCATATATTAAATATTGTGACCGTTGTTGTTTTTATTTTCAACTTGTGCTCAAAAGATTCAGGGAAAGTTATATCAAATTGATATGGTTTGGCTGTGTCCCCACCCAAATCTCATCTTGAATTCCCACATGTTATGAGAGGAACCCGGTAGGAGGTAATTGAATTATGGGGGCAATAATTGAATTATTTCCCATGCTGCTGTTCTCATGATAGTGAGTAAGTCTCATGAGATCTGATGGTTATCGTAAGGGGGAGTTTTCTTGCACGAGCTCTTTTCTCTTGTCTGCCCCCATGAGACATGCCTTTCACCTTCCGCCATAATTGTGAGGCTTCCCCAGCCACATGGAATTGTGAGTTCTCCATTAAATATCTTCCCTTGGTAAGTTGCCCAGTCTCAGGTATGTCTTTATCAGCAGTGCAAAAACAGATTAATACACAAATATATCATTATCTGTTATCCAAACATACTTTATGGTTTGAATAGCAGTTATATGATGCTGTCAAAAAAAGCTTCAGCTATACATTTCCAGTGTAAAAATATTAATGCAAATCTTATTTGTGAAGGTTTAAAATGATGACTGTGGGGTGGTGTTGATATCTAACATACAGGAAACCCCTGGGCCCCAGTGCTGTGTGCACACAAATATTAATTTTACTTCTTGGATACAAATACTAATTTTACTGTTTCTTAAGCATGTAACATGGATATAGTATATGTTAGGATATATGTTACAGGAAAGGTACACAAAGTAATAGATAATGTTAAAGAAATTGATTTCCAAAAGAAACTATATGAATATGTGTGTGAGGACCTATGGAGAAATTATTTCAGGTTTCAGTTCCATGAAAAATTACCATATGGACATGGTGAATCATGGAACTGGTCATTGTTTTCCTTGGTTGCTAAGATTCTCAGAGCCAGATTTGTGGCCTGAGCCACAAATTTGGTATAAATGGTTATGAGACCATTTATACCGACTACACAGTACTTCAATGACATGTGTTTTACCAACCTCATCCATGGCTTCATCTAAGTATTCCTGCCTGCGTTTTTCCCTCCACACTGATTTCCTCACTGAAAAAAAAAAAACTTATATGAAGTTGTAAACATTTGTAAATTATCATTTTGAACAAGATAAATATAAATATATCAACATTACTGGTGAACAAAGATTATTCCTGCATTGATAACTAAACTGAAATGTTCTCTGTGCTATAGGCATTGTACAAATTGGTGCACTGAACCTTTTCTGCTTCTTTCTAAGGAAGCAAATATGGAGTGTCACAATAAATGCTTTCTCATGACCTGACTTTATCATGAAGTGGCAGTTCATTATTTAATTTGGGGCATCAGCTTTTTCATACTTCTATATGATTGCATTAATCTATCACTTGGTTTTGTAAGTATTTAAGTGTATCTCCCTCAAGAGTAAGTTCCCTTGGGATATGGGCCTCTAACAACTTGCTTAGTGCTTGAAAATGTGCTTATTGAAAACATGTTGAATGAAGGAAATAATAACTAATATGGAAGACAGTGGAGAGGAAGCTTGCATTGTTGGCAGAGAAGGCAGAAGGGAGAAAGCAGTTAAAAGAGGTGGCCTGGAAGACTAAGCAGAAGTTTACTGTTTCCATATCCTTCTCACCTTCCTCTACCTGTCAGTGTGGTTTGTTTTTGGTAAAGGAAAAGCAATTCACTGCTCATTTCTCAGAATTATTTTAAAGAGAGAAGTATGCCTTTTTTTTTTCTAATTATTATACTTTAAGTTCTAGGGTACATGTGCATAACGTGCAGGTTTGTTACATATGTATACTTGTGCCATGTTGGCGTGCTGCACCCATCAACTCGTCAGCACCCATCAACTCGTCATTTAAGGATGCCATTTTTAAATGTAATAATTCAGTGGTACTAAATACATTCACGTTGAAGATAAATATTTCTTAATATGACAGATGCTGTTAGGAATAGAGAATAAATTCCAGAAATTCTGTCCCAAATTTAACCAAATTAAGATTAAATCGTAAAGAGCTTTCTATAGTAACGATATTGCAGAAATGCCTCTTCGTCCTTTCCTGGCTCATTGTATAAATATAAAGATGACCTGAGCTTCTAGTGGGTCTCAAAGGTTAAGGTAAAATGGGAGACAAGTCTAACTAATTCTGGAGGGAGTGGAGCTACGGAAGCCACAGAAGAGAGACATCTCTGCTGGATTTTGGGTGCAGTGAGGTGTATCCCAGCGTACCCATTTCTGTTTTACAGTAAGTGAACAGAGTTCCCATGAAGACACTATGAATTTAAGGACTCCGTGGGGACACAGAGGCAAATTTTGTAGTGTGAGCGTAGAAAACTGGAAATGTCAGGTTCCTTTGATAACTGCAAATAAAACCCTGAAGCTACTTAGCTGTAAGAGCTCTTTCAGTGGTATTTCCACTTACGGAAAGAGAGAAAGTCCCTTAATCTCACTTGCGCCTCAATTTTTGGTACAGACCCTGTGCTGCATGTTTTGGTTTTGGAGCTTTCGCCATTTCCCGCAAGTTTAGAGCTCTTAGCACAGTGGGTACTATGGATAAATGCTGGTTTAGGGGTTTAGAGATCCTGGATGAGTTTAGACCTTTAGATCATTTATATCTGGAAGGGTCGTTAGAGACCATTTATCCCAAGCCACTCTGACTCGACTTTTTCTATTGAAAACGTTCACACATGCTTGCCCAAGAAAGCATGTGGAGGAGCATGTGGAATGAAGTGCAAGTCCCTTCACCTTTCCTATCTGTTCCCCAAGCCCCTTATTTTATAGATGATGAAACTGAGGTTCATAGAGCCTAAACGACTAGGCCAATGCTGGGGTCACCCAGATAGTGAAACGAGAACATCCATTTCCAAACTCTACTCACAAGCTTTTTCAGTTGTTGCCTGTTATCCCAGGGATCTGGAAACAAGCCCTTGAAGCAAAAATTATAGTGGGTAAGGGTTTCTCACCAAGGTTTTGTGTGTGGCTGCTGAAGTGATTTAGGGAGTGCCTATAGAGCTTACAGGTTGTGGGTTCATAACTGTGCCTCTGCTGGATGATCAAGTGGAAGTGATTAGTCAAAGATTTCAGGACACTGGAGATGACTGATGCGGATGGGTGTAGATCCCACCAACATATAATCCAGTCCGGAAGCTGTTAGAGGTGCCATCCCTAAGCTGGGTTTTAAAACTTTCCTTCGGTGTTTGCTGGTGCTGAGGGTGTGATTGGTTATTTTCTGTGGTTATTTGGCATAGGTGGACCTTGCCTCCTGATGGCTGGCTGTTGCTTGGCATAGTATCCTTGGGGAAGGGACCAAAGGAAGGGTGAGACATGGAAAATCTCCCCTTTCTTTACTTGTATAAAGTGATGGGGAGAAGCAGATTAAAAAACAAAACAAAAGATGAGCGTGAAGAGGTAGTAGGAAATTGTAGCCACTTAGGCTCAGCTTCCTGTGATAAGCGTTTCAGGGAGGTCAGACTGCATCTCTCCAGGCTTGGCATGGGTCCTGATCTAGGGAAGGGGAAGCCAGAGCTGAGTCAGGCCAGTGGCACTAAGAAACCTCATTACTCCCATTGTGAGAGGTGATCTCTTGTCTTTTTCAACACAGCTGACCCATACCATATACATGTATTTAATCATTCAGAATATAATTATTTTTTAAACCCTTTACTTGTGGTGTAATACTATTTCTTTAAAAAGGAAAAGCAGGTTTCTTACTGGAGAACTTGCCTCAATATTTAAGCCAGTTTGCCATTGGAATTAAATTTCCTAAAAAATTAAAGAGCAAATATATCTCCATGGTTTTTAGTGTTGGTTATTATTATTATTTTTTAATGTTCATGTTTTTGTGAGCCAGTTAAAGCTCTTCCCTGCCTAGTAAGCAAATACTACGGAATCCTGATAAATTATTTCCCGTGGGCCATTCCAGGTAAGGAGGGCGTGTCCTTGGAGCACCAGGGGTAATAAATGCCTAGTGACAGTGGTGGCATTTTTATAGCCTACTTTGGTGTTGATGGCTGCTATGTTAGAGTCATTTCAGCAAGCGTAGGAAGAGCAGAGACAGTGGTGAAGAAACTGAAGGAAAAGATGGTGATGCCAGCAATAACCTTTCCCTGCCCCTTTTCCTCCTTTTTGCTCCTAGACTTCAGACTTAGTCTGCCTTTTAGCTCCTATTTCCCAAGTTGCAGGCTTTGATTATACATTTAGGGAGTGCCTATAGAGCTTACAGGTTGTGGGTTCATAACTTTGCCTCTGCTGGATGATCAAGTAGAAGTGGTTAGTAAAAGATTTCAGGACATTGGAGATGACTAATGCGGATGGGTATAGATCCTACCAACATATAATCCAGTCTGGAAGCTGTTAGAGGTGCCATCCCTAAGCTGGGTTATAAAACCTTCCTTCAGTGTTTGCTGGTGCTGAGGGTATGATTGGTTATTTTCTGTGGTCACTCCTATGCTCACTCCTTTCTGGCTTCTCACTTCCAGCTGTTGGGATAGCAGACAGCCACTTCTCCTTCTCCTTCTCCTCCCTTCCTTCTATCCTCTGGCTAACTGACATGTTTACTATACTTAATATGTTAAATTGGTTATATTTTTACCATGTTTCCATAATTCTGTGGTA